TTAGAGTATATAGAGAGACTAATCTCACAGATGATTTACAATAACTGCAAAACTATCACAAGCAGAGAGTGCTTGCCTCATCAAAATTAAACCCTAATTGGAGATTGATAAACTCCAAGAGAAAACTTAAGTCAAATATTAAACTATGGTAATTGAGATTGAGAAATGTGAAACGTTATTGAGAACTAGAATAATTATTTTTATGTAAGAACAAATAAGCAGAAGTAGTAGGCTACTGAATTAACAGTTGCTAAATGTAAAATGTGTTGAAAGGCATCTGATTAAACAAACAGCTTGAAAAGTTGACCATGAAAGAGCTAGAAGCTGATGTTTTGCTTTCAAAAGATAAGTCTGCTATTGGCTGTAATGAAACAGTTCGCTTATCTAAATCTGATGTGTGCTGTGGCTGAAACAGCCAGTGCGACAGAGACTCAATCTGAGTGGAAATTTGTAATGTCTAGATTCCCTGACGTGGGCAAAAGACAACTGTAAAACTACGTTTATTTGAAAACACATGTCATTTCTGGCAAAGATGCCTTAAGCAGGGATAGAGTTAAAAGATGGTAGATAAAAGTTTGATGTTAGAAGTATATGAGAGAGCAGTGTACCAGTCCGAATGTCTCAGAGTCTCTCTCATTCAATGAGTCAGCTAAAAGCTGTTATCTGTGATAATAAGTAAAGCACAGTGTTTCAGTTGAAGATCATAGACACAGAGATGTTAAAAGAAACAATTGCCATTTAGAGAGCAATTTGTTTTAAAAAGTAAAACTGAATGACTTTAAAGAAGTATTTAAAATAATAATACAGACCTTAAACGATAGAGGTGACATTTTGATTAGCGTATTTTAGGACCAGTAACAATTTTGTCTCATTTAGTCTCCACCATTCAGGACCGATGGCTCCGGCTACAGATGAAGTACACTGAATGTACGGTTGTGATCTAAATTCACTGAGTATAGTCTAAGTAGCTAGGTTGCTGCTTTTAAGATAGTTAATGGATTTAACACTAGAACTACCGGAATTCTATAACTACTAGAACGACCATAGCGGTCATTCTGACCGCTCATACTTTGACGTTCATATTGCCGTACTGAACGTCATTTTCGTCATGCCACAACTACATTTGAACCTTCTTTTTAAGTTTTCCGATGAAACATTTAATTCCTGTCGTCATGTTATGACGTCATCACCATTAAAACCGCTTAAAACAAACATTGGCCCGACAGGTGCTGCCTCTGAGGAAAGTTTTGCGTCAAAAAAAAATTTTTTCCCCGCACTTACCACGTGAATAGACATGCAAAAAGTTAGGAAACGTCAAAGCTTCATGCCGTTTAGTACAGCCCTGTTTCTAAATAAGTTCAATAATCAATACAAAATCTAAAAATAAATGGATTTACAATGTTAAGATAGGTAATAATAAAGATCAGGACACAACATTTAAATTCAAATGAATGTGAACATTTATTTTCCAGCCTAATTGATAAATATTTTCTTATTTTCTTTGTACAATAAAAACAAATCTTATGAAACAATAACTTATAACATATATACAATAACAAAAACACTACATACATTTCATTACACCGTAAAAACTTTCATGGACAGTACGCAGCACAATACACAAAAACAGGTTAAGAAAAAACATGAACATTAGCTAGACAAAAAAATGAACTGATTTAGAACGATTAGTTTCAGTAAACAAAAAAAAACAAAAACAAAAAAATTAACGAACAAAATCAGGTTGACAAGTTTTCCTCAAAGCTCATTTGAACGGCACAAACACCCCGTATCATTCACTGACGCTTACGCACAGTCCACACAGGTAAACACCGCCTTTCGTGTGCAGCTCCCACACACCACTTTACGACATTTGGCACATGTCTCCTTGGTTTTATTTTGTTTGCAGTTCCTCCTTACTTGGCACTGCCGCCTTCTCTCCATCTGCTGCTGCTCCTGCCCGGGTCCTGGCTCACGCACCACAAGTTGTGAGGTTTTTGATCCCATGTGGTCGGAACGAAGTTCGCTCGCCAGTCGCGTGATGAAGTCCCTCCGCGAAACATGCTCATTTGTGCACTTATTGTACAATATGTGTGCGTTGATTGCAGCCAGGTCGAGGATGTTATAGAACACAGCTACTGGCCATCTACGGGAGGGTGCTTTTACTGAATATTTTCTAGCCATTTGATCTAGAACGTCTACTCCTACCTTGGTCTTGTTGTAGTATGTTACCGTCTCTGGCTTTCTTTTCTGGCCACTTGTGATGCCAACAGCTGTGTGGACAGTGCTGAGGATGCAGACATTCTTTTTTTTTTTGCCCTGATACACGGTCAGTGTTGCATCGCCACTTTTCAGCACCTCTGTGCTGAACAGCGGCTTTTGCGCCTTTACGCACGGGGGGAGCTCTCGTCTGCTCTTGTTTACCGTGCCAACCAAGCTGGTTTTCTTGGCCTGAAGTGCCTTTGCCAATTCAAAAGAAGTAAAAAAATTGTCGGTGGTCACATTTCTTCCCTTCCCCAGGTATGGGTCGACCATTTTCAGCACCACACTGTCTGCAAGTCGTTGACCTGGCCTCCTCGTCTCGTCTTTGCCCAGATAAGGCGCACCGTTTACCATATATTTGGTGTCGACATCCGCAGCAAGCCAGAATTTGATTCCAAATTTGTCCGGTTTGTTTGCAATATACTGTATGAAACTGCACCTTGATTTTGTAGGGAATAGCTGCTCATCCACAGTGATGTCGGCACCAGGCTTGTAGCAGGCGATGCAGTTTTGGACAAATTTATCCCAAACATTGTCTCGCAAGCGTGTGCGTCGGGTTTCCCTTTTGTCGAAACGAAGGAATCGCATTATTTCCTGAAACCTGTTTCGGGACATGGTCTCCTTGAAAAAAGCGCAGCCCCACTCGGCTGACCAAAAGGTCGCCAAATCCATCCCTTTTCCACCTTGCGCGCCACGAATGTAAATTAAACTAATGAAGGCTTTTAGCTCTTCGATTGTCATGTCCCATAGGTTGTCCTCCTTGACTCGATGGGCCTCAGCCACGGTGCAGTCCCTGATGTGTTTCAGCATGCCATCATCCACCAAACACAAAAAGGCTGTAAGGGCATCTTCAATATTGCGCTTGGCGTGCGCTGTGGGGCCTGCTGCTTCAGTTATTACATTTTGGCATTGTCGCCTTCCTCTGTCTTCACCCAACTCTACATAGGTCCACACTGTGCCGTCTTTCGCCGTTTCACGCCTTTCGGCTGAAAGGGGGTTTATTGGGCCAGGCTCCTCATCTCGTGGCGGACTGTGTTGTCTTGGCACAGAAGGCACATTTGAAGGATCAGGATTTTGCACTATTGCCAAAAAAAGAAAAGAAAAAAGAACAGACTAATTACTTTTTTAGTTCATGAAATCATAATCTTGATAATTAGTCCTTATGATTTCTAATAGCCTGACAATATAGTATTATAGGCTACTAATAATAGCAATAGAATAATAAAAATGAAAAGGTGTGTGTGCCGGTGGAGGTGTGTGCCTGACGTAAAAATCTGAATGAATGGATCGGTCATCAGGAAAGTTGCGTGTTTGCGTCGGTAACAGCGGTGGGTGTTAAATAAGTTAATATGATAACCGATCTGATCGGTAAAGTTATAGCCTACATTAGATAGTTAGAGATGGTTAACTTTACTTTGAAGTTACGTTACAACTATTATTGAGCTAGTCTGCCTCGCAAAGTATAAAAATATAGCTAGAGAAGAAGAGAAACATACCTGGAATATTATCCGATGGAACAAGGTCAGTTCCAGGATCGGAGATGTCCAGCCGGCTCTTTTTTCGACGGGGAATGAATTCATTATCTGAATCACTCTCAGCGCTGGATGAACTGTCTAGGGACCAAGAGACATCGCTGTCCCTATCCGTAACGTTACCTGCTCCTCCATCAGACTCCTCATCGTCAAGCATTCTAAGCATGGCTAAAACCTCTGTGGCTGTCATTGTTCTTTTTGATGACATTTTGTTAGCTAAAATGTATAATATTTATAGCGTAAATGTATAATATTCATAGCGTTGGAATAGCGTAAACAAAAAAAGACAAATCGTTGCTATGCAACGGGGACATTCGTTACAGTGGCGGGAAATGTAGCGGACTTATGATATCTATAATGCGTGCGGTCAAAATGACCGCCATGGCCATTCTAGGTAGAAATACTCAGAACTGTTTTGTGTTTTGTGATTTTAATAAAATAACAGTGTCAGAATAAAATATACACATATTTAGGAAAAGTCAGAGTCATACAGCCACATGGATTTTATTTTAACAAAGTTATTACACTGTAAAATTCAAAAACGGTCAAAATGACCGCCTTGGGAGTTCTAGTGTTAAGTGATTAACAGAGGTGGAAAGAGTAATAAAATGTTGTACTCAAGTAAAAGTACTGTTACTTAAGTGAAATTTTACTTAAGTACAAGTAAAGTTACCAGTCTAAAAATGTACTCAAGTAAAAGTAAAAAGTAGCTCATTAAAAATGTACTCAGAGTAAAAGTTACTGAGTTAGTTTTTTTTTTTTTTACAGCTGGGGTGGGGTGGGGGATTCTACTGTAGTTAAAAAAAGACAAGGGAATATAAATCTCAAACTAGTTGTTTTTAATTGAACGAACACCTTTACAAATTAAAGTGCAATAACAAAAATAATAAAATAAAAATAAAAACGGTTTAAATTATTTAGGGAGATACGAGTGATTTTAGTGCAGATCATCCAATAAATAATTTTAAACAATACTACAACCACTGAATATGGCATGAAGTGTGGATTCAGTAGAGCATCCTTTTCTTAAACACAAACGACAGACTTACTACAAAACTTTAAATCTAAATTGGGTCAGGCACCTTCAAGTATTTTAAGACAAAACTGTGCCATTGTCAGATAACAGAATAACAAAACGTCAAATGAACAACATGGTGCATTCTTTTTTTTTTTTTTTTTTTGCCCTGCCCTTCTGTTTATCTTCAGTTTATTTGTGTGTCCATCCTTACACTATGAACTTTTTGTTAAGTTTGAGTAGCAGTTGGTTTTCAAAGTTAGTAGAGTTCATCCTCGCCCGCTTTGCAGTGAATAACAGTCCAGCACAGCTGAAGAGACGCTCACAGGCAGCGGAGGCAGGAAGACCAGTGTTGAGTTTGAGAGAAAGGTTTTTGATGTGAGGAAATGAGTTCAACAGATCCATTTTGTTTGAGATACAAGCAAGGTACCCATCTAGCTCCCCTGTACCTTGTGACCTTCTGGACTTCATTGAGGAGAAGAAATCTTCTTCATCTGATGAATGTTGCCCAACTTGCTCCACCGTTGCCTCTGCCATCTGGTCAAGGTGTCGTCTCACATAGACCAGACCTGTTGAACGACAACACACAACCATGCATATTTAATATTTCTGTCAATGCAGAAACTGCAAAGATTCATTTTACTGAACTTACAACACTGTATTATTGAGTAGTAACAAAATAGACAAAACTGGGATTGATAATTAACAACTGATTACACTATAATATAAAACAATGAAATCATACCTGCTTCTATGATTTCAGCCCTCTCAGTCCAGGTGTTCTTGAACTTTGGCAGAAGGATTGCTGCAGCAATCAGTTCAGGGTCTTGCATCATCCCATCAAACCGCTTTTGGACACCATCCTGAACTGCTCTGATAAGAGGCAGACACATTTTGGAGGATGTCTCCAATCTGCTGAGTTTTTCTTGTAACTGGAAGATCACTGGCAGGAGCCACCCCATGTGTGTGTTGGTCTCAGACTGAAGAATGTTCAATGCCTTCACAACAGGTTTCATAACAGTGCAATACTCAGTCAGGAAAACAATTTCAGCTGGACTCAGCCTGTAGGACATGAAAGATATGCAACTTTTAAGAAACTTCTTGCAGGAATAGGTGTGGAATGTGTAGCCAAGTATGGAAATGTATTTTGACAATTTTACAAAATATTTATATCAATAAATATAAAAAATAAATAAGAGGGGGAACTTTGGGAAATTATTTTCATTTGTGTTATTTTATACTTATTTGATTATATTGATTATTATATATATATTTTTTAAACTCACATTTTTACTTTGAATTCTTCACAGACATTTCTGATAGCGTCTTCGCCTTTGTCTTGAATGATCCTTATGATTCTCTCCACAGCCATGTATGTAGAGTTCCACCTTGTCTGATTTGGCCGGATGAGCTGGAGCTTGCATTTATCTTCAACAATTTCTGCTGCCATGTATGACCGACCTGTCTTGTTCCACATTGCTTGGCATTTCCCAAAGGCTGCTTGTGATAGCCGCTTGTATGTATCATTGTTCTTTTCTGCCAAGGCAGCATCTTTTGTGGCGACTAAATTTAACAGGTGGCATGCACACCTTTGATGTGGAGGAAGTTGGTACTCAAGACCACTGTCTTGTTCCAGGATGCCGAATGTGTCCAGGTAATCAGCTGTAGGCTCTTCAGAAGAGTCTTGATCTGATTCGGACTCTGCATCCCCAGTTTGGCTTTGCTCACCAAAAACGATGAATGCCTTGATGAAGTTTGAGCCGCTGTCTGTTGTGGTTCTTACCACTTTTCCCCTTATTCTATACTGACAATGAATGTCATCAAGAGTGCCTGCCAGGACATCAAAGGTGTGTGACCCTTTTAATCTCTGGCAAGCAAGTGCGGCGGATCTCCTCTCCAAGGTTTCCTCATCTATCCAATGAGCGGTCACCCCTATGAAACTTTGCTGGTGCGCAGTCCAGCAATCAGTATTGGTGGCAACATAGCTGACTTTACTGAGGTGTGACAGCAAAGTCTTCTTCATCTGAGTGGCAGCTTCATCAATTCTGGTCCGGAGAGTGGGTCTGGATATGACCTTGCACTGAGGATTCAGTGCAAGTACAAGTTCTTTAAAAGCAGGTTGTTCAACCAAAGAAAATGGATGAAGACCCTCACAAATGAAGTTGATCATGAGCTTGTCAACCTTTGCCTGTGGCACACGTTTGTTTGCACCCAGTGCAATCACGTCACTTATTTTTGCTTGCTTGGCCGGGATTTCTGGTGGTTCTAGGGCTCGCTTCCGTGTTGCCACAAAGTCACTGAAGGCCTTTAGCTTTGATGGATGTTTTCTCTGTAACCAAAACATTTTCATCATTTAAATCAATGTCATGTTCATTAAACATGCTGAATTTAAAATATTTGCATTCATAGATAAATGGTTTATCACATTTGGTCTTTTGCATTTCATAATGCACAATTCTTGCTCACTGAACATAAAGATAAGAATATGACTATGAAAAATAATGGATATATTAAAGTGTCTATACTAAATTCAATGTCATATGGGATAGTTCAGTAGTTTTGAAGTGGGCTTGTAAGAGGTATTTATGCCTAGCCAGTGTATTCACTGCAGCAGACAGTGCTCAGCACTCTCCCTGTTTGAAAGAGCATAGAGATACACTGAGCATGTAGACAGCAACAAAAAAACATTTTCCCCTGGTTTCACAGACCAGGCTTAAGGCTAGTCCCAGACTAAAATGTATGTTTGAGCGTCACAAATTTAAATAATTTGCACTGACATGTCTTAAAATATGCCAGTGCAATTGTTTTGTTTTATTCTATGACATTTGATAAAAGTTACTTAAATATGCTACTTTAACAAAGGCCTAGTATTGGCTGTGGAATTGGACCTTTATCTCCCTAATGTGTTGTTTTTTACTGTCTATGTTGATGTCCCTTGTCACTGTAGCTCTCTGTCTATGTACCTGCTGCTCATGCAGACTGAAAAAGCCATTATCACTGATACTAAAACTGCTACTGATGTCTCTTTTTTTACATTAATGATAGACATTCAACATTACAGTATAATGTCACAATTCCAAGTGAACTTAAAACAATCGTCACATAAACCCATTATAATAAATGTGAAATTTACATGTGGCCTTACCAGTCTAACAGGTAGGATATACAGAAATTAAATAGTTGAAGTTAAAATTGATATCAAACTGTCTGCACTGCATAAATAATAAATTAAATATAGAATAACTCCTTCTTAAAGCTACACTTTTCTCTGTTACCTTTGTTCTGTGATGAACTTTAATGACAGAAATCATAAGTGTCTGCTGTCACTTTAAGATCTGCGCCTGCCGACACGGATCTGACGCGCTGTCACGCGCATATCATTTTCTCCACAACTCTTTTAAGTTCATTTAAGACGTTATTTAACTAATTAAAGACTGCTTAACTTAATTCTCTTATGAGAATACTCGACAAAAAGGCCATTTTGGCATAATTCTGTGTTTTATTGTTGGTTCAAGTGCGAAGAGAACTCGATTCAGAGCTAACGTTAGCTTAATTTTGCATTGACAATTTTGCCCCAAGTCCCTGTTAATCACCGACCCTCGTGCTAACAAGGTCACGCACTGATGCAACGCAACAGTACAACAATTACGTAAACTAACTAAAGATACAAGTAATATTAACTTACCTCAACATGCTTGCGCAGGTTTGATGTAGAGTTTTTATAAGCTGCCAGTTCAGTCGACTTGGGCAAACACAGCTTGCACTGCATTATAAAGCTGTTGTCTTTCTTGCACTTGAAGTCAAAGTGGTCGCTTAAATAGGGCCAGGGGTTTGCTTCAAGAGAAGTTGCTGGCATTTCAATTTCAGCTGGGTCTGCATCTGTTTTGTCTGTCTCCATCATTCTTGTTTAGCGCATTAGTTCTCCCGGCTCCGACCATCAATCAATCAGTGCAGTAGTTTCTTGCGCGCAATTTTTTTTTCTTCCCCTTTGCTTTTTTAAAATGTTTTTACTCAGTAACGGATATGATTTCAAATGTAGCGAAGTACAATACTTCAAACAAAACATACTTAAGTAAAAGTAAAATTACAGAATTTTAAAAACTACTTTAAAAAGTAGAAGTACACAAAAAAACTACTCAATTACAGTAACGCGAGTAAATGTAATTCGTTACTTTCCACCTCTGGTGATTAAATACTGTTGTTATTAACCTGTCTCCCTGTGAACACTATTAGGCCATCGGAATGGCTCTGGTGACTCTTGAACGTGCCTTTCCTAAGCTCCAGAAAACAGCGGAGTTCTGTTGAAGAAGACTGATTTGGTATTGGGAAAGAGCGGTCACCAGTGTGTACGTGTGTACGAGTGGCTACTCAATGACGGGATGATCTTCCTGGCCAGGGGACAGCCTAACGCAGGGGGTCACGAACATTGGGCACCTCCGGATGGAGGTGTTATTTGTGAGAAAGGTATGAGAGTTGAGCGCTGATTACTGGAGGCCACCGGGGTCAGCAGAGCATTGAGAGCTATTATTGAGTACAACTATTAGTAGTACAATAATAGTACAACTATTATTGAGCTAGTCTGCCTCGCAAAGTATAAAAATATAGCTAGAGAAGAAGAGAAACATACCTGGAATATTATCCGATGGAACAAGGTCAGTTCCAGGATCGGAGATGTCCAGCCGGCTCTTTTTTCGACGGGGAATGAATTCATTATCTGAATCACTCTCAGCGCTGGATGAACTGTCTAGGGACCAAGAGACATCGCTGTCCCTATCCGTAACGTTACCTGCTCCTCCATCAGACTCCTCATCGTCAAGCATTCTAAGCATGGCTAAAACCTCTGTGGCTGTCATTGTTCTTTTTGATGACATTTTGTTAGCTAAAATGTATAATATTTATAGCGTAAATGTATAATATTCATAGCGTTGGAATAGCGTAAACAAAAAAAGACAAATCGTTGCTATGCAACGGGGACATTCGTTACAGTGGCGGGAAATGTAGCGGACTTATGATATCTATAATGCGTGCGGTCAAAATGACCGCCATGGCCATTCTAGGTAGAAATACTCAGAACTGTTTTGTGTTTTGTGATTTTAATAAAATAACAGTGTCAGAATAAAATATACACATATTTAGGAAAAGTCAGAGTCATACAGCCACATGGATTTTATTTTAACAAAGTTATTACACTGTAAAATTCAAAAACGGTCAAAATGACCGCCTTGGGAGTTCTAGTGTTAAGTGATTAACAGAGGTGGAAAGAGTAATAAAATGTTGTACTCAAGTAAAAGTACTGTTACTTAAGTGAAATTTTACTTAAGTACAAGTAAAGTTACCAGTCTAAAAATGTACTCAAGTAAAAGTAAAAAGTAGCTCATTAAAAATGTACTCAGAGTAAAAGTTACTGAGTTAGTTTTTTTTTTTTTTACAGCTGGGGTGGGGTGGGGGATTCTACTGTAGTTAAAAAAAGACAAGGGAATATAAATCTCAAACTAGTTGTTTTTAATTGAACGAACACCTTTACAAATTAAAGTGCAATAACAAAAATAATAAAATAAAAATAAAAACGGTTTAAATTATTTAGGGAGATACGAGTGATTTTAGTGCAGATCATCCAATAAATAATTTTAAACAATACTACAACCACTGAATATGGCATGAAGTGTGGATTCAGTAGAGCATCCTTTTCTTAAACACAAACGACAGACTTACTACAAAACTTTAAATCTAAATTGGGTCAGGCACCTTCAAGTATTTTAAGACAAAACTGTGCCATTGTCAGATAACAGAATAACAAAACGTCAAATGAACAACATGGTGCATTCTTTTTTTTTTTTTTTTTTTGCCCTGCCCTTCTGTTTATCTTCAGTTTATTTGTGTGTCCATCCTTACACTATGAACTTTTTGTTAAGTTTGAGTAGCAGTTGGTTTTCAAAGTTAGTAGAGTTCATCCTCGCCCGCTTTGCAGTGAATAACAGTCCAGCACAGCTGAAGAGACGCTCACAGGCAGCGGAGGCAGGAAGACCAGTGTTGAGTTTGAGAGAAAGGTTTTTGATGTGAGGAAATGAGTTCAACAGATCCATTTTGTTTGAGATACAAGCAAGGTACCCATCTAGCTCCCCTGTACCTTGTGACCTTCTGGACTTCATTGAGGAGAAGAAATCTTCTTCATCTGATGAATGTTGCCCAACTTGCTCCACCGTTGCCTCTGCCATCTGGTCAAGGTGTCGTCTCACATAGACCAGACCTGTTGAACGACAACACACAACCATGCATATTTAATATTTCTGTCAATGCAGAAACTGCAAAGATTCATTTTACTGAACTTACAACACTGTATTATTGAGTAGTAACAAAATAGACAAAACTGGGATTGATAATTAACAACTGATTACACTATAATATAAAACAATGAAATCATACCTGCTTCTATGATTTCAGCCCTCTCAGTCCAGGTGTTCTTGAACTTTGGCAGAAGGATTGCTGCAGCAATCAGTTCAGGGTCTTGCATCATCCCATCAAACCGCTTTTGGACACCATCCTGAACTGCTCTGATAAGAGGCAGACACATTTTGGAGGATGTCTCCAATCTGCTGAGTTTTTCTTGTAACTGGAAGATCACTGGCAGGAGCCACCCCATGTGTGTGTTGGTCTCAGACTGAAGAATGTTCAATGCCTTCACAACAGGTTTCATAACAGTGCAATACTCAGTCAGGAAAACAATTTCAGCTGGACTCAGCCTGTAGGACATGAAAGATATGCAACTTTTAAGAAACTTCTTGCAGGAATAGGTGTGGAATGTGTAGCCAAGTATGGAAATGTATTTTGACAATTTTACAAAATATTTATATCAATAAATATAAAAAATAAATAAGAGGGGGAACTTTGGGAAATTATTTTCATTTGTGTTATTTTATACTTATTTGATTATATTGATTATTATATATATATTTTTTAAACTCACATTTTTACTTTGAATTCTTCACAGACATTTCTGATAGCGTCTTCGCCTTTGTCTTGAATGATCCTTATGATTCTCTCCACAGCCATGTATGTAGAGTTCCACCTTGTCTGATTTGGCCGGATGAGCTGGAGCTTGCATTTATCTTCAACAATTTCTGCTGCCATGTATGACCGACCTGTCTTGTTCCACATTGCTTGGCATTTCCCAAAGGCTGCTTGTGATAGCCGCTTGTATGTATCATTGTTCTTTTCTGCCAAGGCAGCATCTTTTGTGGCGACTAAATTTAACAGGTGGCATGCACACCTTTGATGTGGAGGAAGTTGGTACTCAAGACCACTGTCTTGTTCCAGGATGCCGAATGTGTCCAGGTAATCAGCTGTAGGCTCTTCAGAAGAGTCTTGATCTGATTCGGACTCTGCATCCCCAGTTTGGCTTTGCTCACCAAAAACGATGAAT